TTTGTGTGTCAGTTATATGTAACCCGTTTTTACATGGTGCTTTCTTGTCGATTAACTTTGAGCTAAATTTTTATCCGGGAACCGGGTTGGGTGTTTAGTGAAGGAGTTTAACCTATTCAGAGTGTGTTTCTTCACAAACGATCTCCGTAATTGTGCCTAATTCACATTTGGAAATCATTTACGAAATACGTTCAACGCCTAAATGCAGTGTAAACTAGAAACCATGCATCAGAATGTCATTTCGAATTAGGATTTCTTATACTGAACATGATCCTGCCGCACGGCGTTGGCAATCCTTAAATATCGTATTCAACCGGAGTCGGTGCTTACGTTAAACTCTAACTAACCAAAACGTCTCTCAGAATTTAGGCCTTTTTGACGTGATTTATTTATCACACATTGGCATTTTGCTCACCTTGTAGACCATCGCATCCAGCGACTGAATCCACAACAGGCGTAAATGTAGAGCAGTAGACTGTTGAATAAACCCACGCAACTGTATAGCGCATAAAAGTTCACATTGAAAGATCTGGAAATGGTATGCAGGACTGGATCGGAGACCAATGTCGATCACACGTCGAGGATATTGAGGGCATACGAGGGTGAGAGGAGGGAACGACGGAAAGAGAGAGAGGCATAGATGATAACAAACATATCCAGTGTCGTTTCATGTTTATAGGAGACTGAAGTAAAGACGGTGTGCGATTGTATGCAATGTTTGATTCACCTCTTGCTCCATGAAAATCGCCAAGCACGTTGTCTGGCTCTTGTCAGACATGGCAATCTGGTCAAATTACCTTCTGATCATCAAATCAGATAGGCGAATGCATTCGGAATCATTCACTCAATGACAAAACACAAAAGATACGATTTGAATTCAGGGACAGTCAGTCCCAGGAGGCTTTGCAGTTCCATTGTATGAAGACTGATCATTCGGATAAAGCGAAATGAAGCAGTAGTTGTAGAGTGTGTATAACACGACACCTTTTTTATGCCCAAAGGGAACGTATGCGAGTTGTTTTGCGTGGTCCGTTATTCGCTTTCTTACAAATTGATTATCAGAAAAAGTAAACCTTTTTTCAGTTGCGTTCAATAAACCCGTTTCTGAATATCTTTTGCGCTCGTGTTTTCTATTCAAATTCTTCCTCCTTCAGGAGGATGTTGGTAAAACGTCAGAGAAAATAAAGTATCCTTGTGGTACGCATGTCGGACATGTATGCAGATTAAGTAATAACAATGTAAGGATGTACCATCACATGTTCACTGAGCTCAGTACATTATTCGAGAGCTTTGGTCATCGGTCGGGGTATGTTATTAATCCCCATAGACATTAGAATTTATTTCGCAGCTCTATATTAAACCAGATATCATAGAATTGGTCCCAAATCCGAGCCAGGAGGAAGTGATCAAGTGAACGCGACCGCGAAACAGGTTTTTAATCAGAAACGAAATTATCTGTTATCTGTCCATTTGAGTTGCATCCATTTTGATCATTCAAAATACCGGTCAGTTGTTTGGTTGCGCAATAGCGTAAACCGAAAATTTAAACTCGTATCGTGTTTTCATTTACTGCTTTGATTTATATGGGAAAAAAATATGAACCAGCAAAAGGAATGTACTGTGAGCATTTTGTGTCTGATTGTTTTGATATTCTTCTTTCTTAGCGACATTTATCCTACTGTTTCTAGTAAACTCCTCACGAATGAGATTAACATCTGGAATTGACTTTGATAGAGATATAATACAGAGATATAATACTCAGGTAATTCGAGTATTGTCCATTTGAGAGTCCATTTGAGAGACACATAAACCTTGGTTGTATTTGGCTTTGATTCTACCACCTCATTCCCTTTGGATATTATCTTAATAGACTGACTGTGCACGGTAAATCGTCTATATTGGTACCACTAATAATTTAGAAATATCCACGTATATGGTCCTGAATGCAGCAAAATCGATGTAGGACACCTGAAAGTTCAGGGCATCTAAACTTTCCGTCGACATTAAGATGCCTTCATTGTCCCTTCCACATCACATCGTTCTGACCAACTCGCATCGGTTCCAATCATGAAGACCATCAGCGTAGCCGAAGACGATAGAAGTGGAACTGGAAAAGTTATTTTAGCTTATAAAACACCACGTAAATAACAGTCAAAAGAACAACACTTACTTTTTATGTACAGAGCCAAAGGTGCAGTGGATAAAAGCACAATCAATGGTTGTCCACCGAGAAATCCAAAGCTCAAACCGCCTAGAGTTTGAGCTATAATCATTTGCGTTACGTCTGAGCATAGGGCGATACAGGGAGGGATATGAAAGTTTGAGGACAGTTAAAGCCTATGCATACGCTTGTAGCTGATGTGACATACCTTTACGGAATTCCGTATCAGCAGCCACTTATGGTTACAAGTTTACCTACAATTGAGGAAATGGCAGAAACAATGTATTGCGGGATTCGTACTTTAAGGGTTACTGGTGGGTTTTCAAAGCTAAAGTGTTATTTGCTTAGAATGGAGACAAAATGTCGCCTAACATGCGTAGCTAGTAGAAACCTCAATAGAAAACATCCAGGTATACAGTACTGTCAAGGGAAATATTCCAAGTGCTGCGTAAAGGGACTGTTGCTAGTGAAGACCATGACAATTTGCTAATTAATTCACTCTTTGGGCTCATTAAGTTTAAACTGGCTAGCTTAACTGGGCATGAAGCATAATGATGTAGAGCAGCTTTGATCAGAAGACATAAATCACCATCAAAATTAGTACTGTCAAGGGCCATCAGACTCGACCATCTTTTCCCATCCATGATCGTGTTCAAATAGTCTTTGTGCTTCCTATTCTGAAAATGTCAGCACAGTATATACATGACAATGGTAATTATGATGACTATTGTGAAATGGTGTGACGAAAGCAATATGGAGTTTTAAGCTGAATATAGTGGTACATAAACAGACCTAATATTCATGGCAGTAAGTTTTAGTGTCTGTTTGTCTGTCTGTCTGTTAGTTGGTCTCTCTATGCTGCACAGTCATGGATGAAGCCAAACGGTCTGATCAGCTACCCGGTGGTCGATTGGGCAATTCCAGGTTCACTCCTCAGCCAATTCGATGGAGTAGCACCGTTTATAAAACACGAAAAAGTCAAAAATAGAGATAGCGCACTGCTTGTTTTTTTCAGGTTTACTCTTCATCTTCTCTGTACACGACTGCTTTTAGCAGTTAGTGATGACTGACAAATTTCCTTAGGCCATCTTTGAGGTTCGAATAGAAACGTTCACAGTAAAATGGCAAAATGCATTTCTTCAGAATAAACACTTTTATTTCGTAAAGGAATGCTTGGATTAGCCGTGATGAGAAAAAAAAAGATTTGTTATGATTTGTTTTATTCCCTCCCTCTGTTGGAAATTCAAACATTCACATACGGATCGAATAAGAAGAGCACTTGCTTGTTTTGTTGGAAGACATTTATTTCCAAATTTGCATAAGATAATGAGCAAGATACTTTCCCGTTGTTGGCGTCTATGTGCAAAACAACACAGTGTCCAGCACCCTGTAATGCTTCCTGTAATGGCGATTGATGAGTATTATGTCAATTGCTCATAACCGAAAGCCAATTCCTCCTTTTGAAAAACAAAACAGGCTAGCACATTGACAGTACATTCGTAAACCACTGAGATTGTGTTTCAATTCCAACGGACAGGGTAAATGTATTTCAAATAAAACGTCCAATGTTTATTATTGCTGAGCTTTAGGTGGAAAAATGTCGTCCAGAGATTGTTCTTAGTTTCTTTGGAGTTAGATTCGCTAAATATCCTTTTCTTGTTAAGCGCTTCATCGTCACAAGAAGACACATGTGAGCGAAATTTATTTTTCTGTTCTCTTTTCCGTTCTCTCATTAGGATGTAATCGAACACTAATCGAAGCATGCCAACAGAGGATAGGTCTGAGTTTAATTTGGCCTTTGACGGGTGGTGGTGGCCAAGTGAGTTACACAATCAGATTTNTTTGCACATTAGATTAGATGACAAAATACGACAACGGGCTATGAAGGTTGATTGTTCAAAAGAGGATGAAGAAGGCTGATGGTAGGGTACTGGAAGCTAAGGTTCTATCTCAAAAGGTGGTTGGGCGTAGTCTGGTGTGATAAAAAACATTACCACAATAGAAGCAGTTAGGTCACAGGTGTTTTTTGAACACAGTTTCAATTTTGCAGAATGAATGGTTAACACTTGGAGAAGTAATACGATTGGGAAATTTTGTTATTCTAGGTGAACTGCAATTGCATTTTAAAGTAGTTTTCCTATTAGAATTGAGGGGGTTTGAGGATTTGTTTGTAAAGACAGGGTCTACACAAATAGATGTCAGCTAAATACTTTTGAAGCAGCGAACTATGAAATAGCCTATTTCTTTATACCATCTCGTGTTTTCCGGCATAGGCTATACACGTAAAATAATAGGCTAATATAACACTGTGAGTAAAAATCTAATCAATATTATATACTTTGAATTTCCTAATGATTTAACCAGATCAAATGTAAATCACTGAAACCGAGACTCGCGTTTTGTGGTTTACAATGAGGACAACAAACTTTCATTTGCCAATCGTTCAACGATTCGACTGCTGCTGTCGCCGCAGGTTGAATTTACAAACCCTGTAGGTGATCCACTATTCGTGTTATCTGTAAATTTATTATTATCACTGACATCTGTCAACAATGTTATTCTTGTAACTGTCTCATTATTCGACCATAGTTTTAACCTTAGCTAAACGGCCGTTATTGATGTTGCTCATTGGGATTTTGGTCCAATGCAGTAGCGATCGGCGCCAATAGCAAAGGGACATTTCTTGAGTGTATAATCAAGAAACAGCACTTCTGTGGGATAAATGTGCATTATCATTACCATTATCAACTCAAAATTCATCGATGGGAACATGAACCTAAGTTATGCCGGTTAACCGTGCATCTTGACGCTTAAGTTTGCATTTTGGGACCCCATAAGAATATCAAAAGGGCTAGCTGAATAAAATAACAAAGGATTAGTTGAAAGCTCTTTGTCGGATAGTAGGCAATATTTTAGAGCAACGCCAAAATCGGCACTTTACAAAAGATACTCAGGCGTACATAGTGGAAGAGACAGACTAATTGTATTGTCAGAAGGAATCTATCATTTTGTTAACCTTTTCTTGTTTCTGTTAGAATTTTCCTATTCCTTGGATGAAAATATCGATTATGCATACAGATGTTATTTTGTGAAGGTGATCAACAAGTCCAAGTAATTAATATGTTGCACATGGAGAGTAAACGAGGATCAAAAACAGATATTTGGACACTATATGGGATGTGAGGCTTTCATCTAAGTGTTTGGGTCGTTTTCAGGAAACGAAGAGAAAATCAAACCATCCCAAGAGGTTACCCGCTTTTCAAACGCTTTTTCGAGTCAAATTTGTTTGTCAAATTTTAACAAGTTATTCCCTTAGCTCCATTCGATCTATGCCTCCCTGGAGAATTTGTTCGCTAAAATGTCTACATAGGTAAGCAAATGATACATAAAATCGATAAAACAGTTCTCTTTAAAAACACTTGCATAATTGATGTCCAGTTCCACACATAATTAGCAAAATAACTCACCAATTTTTCCCTCCGTGTTATTGTAGTTCAACACCCCAAAAGCGATTGATGGAAACAAGCATGCGAAGTAGAGAAAGAATATGGTGGAAATGGTTTTTCGTATCGTGTTCTTTCCGCAAATCCCTTTCCAACGTAACAAGATTTCATGTCAGCCGGAACAGAGTCAGATTTGCCCGAGAGCACGAGTTGTGCAGATTAATTAAATTGTAAAAGGGGTAGAGAGAGGTTTTTTCGCAGTGGGTGATTAGAATAAGAAAAACATGTCATGAATGATCAGTTTCGAGTGGTTAAGATAAAAATGAAACGATCGGACTTTTGAGAGTTCAGTTTCGTTCTAAGATAGAATGCATTCAATGAGTCCCTTATTCATTATGTAGAGATAAGTGACCCCTTTCGTCACTTGTATGAACATAACAGGAATGAAACTAATGATTGAATGTTTCAGCTACTGAGTAACTTTTGGTCACCAGAAAAACCAATTATTGAAAATGGGGGATTTGATTGTAAACGGAGTAAATGGATTGAGTTTTTCTGAATGATTTATTTTGGTGTTTACATTCCGTGTTCTAGGCAATTGATGTCTTGTTTGAGCAAATAGTTTACAGATACTAAACTCGACATCTTTAAACTTAGGACTGATTCCTGTTTTGTAGCCCTTATTTTTAGACCTTTCAGAACAACAATGCATTTTAGCGAAAAAAATACGGCGTAGAACATATAACTAACATGAAAGCTAATCAGTAGCTGCGGGATTTGAATTAGCAACTTCCCGGGTGGTGTCAAAATGTCATCGAGAGGGATTGAGATTTTACATGTTATCGTCCATCCACACAAATCAGCGGCAAACTTCGGTAAACAATAGCAAAATAGAGTAAACCTTTGCATGATAATTTGCTACAGTAAGACATTTTATTCTATTAGTAAATGTTCTTATGTGAACCTAGTTATTTGTAGCAAACCAAGAACCTCGGGTTGTAACCGCGTGATCGATTACAGTAAATTATGTCAGACGTCCTAACCGACCCACTAAGGTGGTATTTAAGGTTTTCTGCAAGAAGTTTTGTGGAGGAATAATTCTGACATATCTTTTTTATGCTGCGGTGCATTAATTCAGATTTTGAAAGCTTTTCCTATCGTACATCCATTGACCCTGAATTGGCATGACATGAAAATGTATGGCAATCTTTTCTAATTGTACTGTTAGATAGATTAAATGATTGAATTTAGGGTAAGCTGATATTTTCTTTATTCAACTGTATAACTTTAATCTCTCAAACAACTTATTGGAAAAATAACTAAGCCTCAGAGACTCCTTCGCTGGATTCCGTTGTATTTTAAGGGAAAGATGTCAAGGCAAATAAGCTTACAAACCTCTGAAAGTTAATTGGACCATCCAAATGTGAAAAGACTAGCACTATTACTGTAGCCTCATAGCTAATCTGGTAACTTATGTGCTGTACTAAAATGCAAGAGGTGTCGGGATGTGGGATGTAACGGAAGCTACCGAAATCTAATTTCGGATGCCGGTAGCCGACGTTTGGTAACCCTTAACCTCTCATCCCTAATTCTCATGAACGCAAGTGACTGCTAGGCAGCCTTTGTTACCGGAGTTTGTGTTCGCAACCTATTATCAATATGGGACCTTATTCATTTTTATTTCAAGTGGCAACATTTTGATTAGTAGCACCTCTGAAACGGGAGGTCGCTAATATAAATAATATTAAATAAAACAGAATAGGAAACTTTAATCTTTATGGGCGCAAACCCTAACCCTGCTCGTAATCGCGCACTCCTTATGTGTACCGTAAACTGCCAGCCGATTATCCTCATCACAGAAAATATTATAACTTTATACGTTATGCACTATTTGGATGAGCATTTTCAATCGATTTTTGCCCGGTGACTCTGCGAAGGATCTTGGGGTTTTGGACACTAAACCGCACTTCCGGGCTCCGTTGTGGAAAGACAATGATTTTTCCTAAGTACCATGACGAATTCTGAGGAAAATGTGTCTCGTTCTCAATTAGTGAGAGGATCACCCGTCAAGATGAAGGGTGGAGTAAATGTAACCAGTTTAGCACAATAAATCAGTCAGAATGCTTACTTATAATCGGAATGCAACCCGCCCAAAGATATCAGGAAGATCTGTCATTAAAATCCCTAGCTGTTATCATAGATATGCCTAAACATTTCAACAGTTCAAATCCTCTCTTATGTACAACATTCCAATGAGGTCCAAGTGATAAATGTTGATATATTTACGAATCAGGTGTTTGTCTTTTCACTGCGTCTATTTATTCAGGCTTGATTCCTTAAACATCTTCAGAGTTACAACCTCATCATGTTTGTACTATCGTTAGAAAAGTAGTTTGGCCTAACATTAACAAAAGCTGAAGGGAAATTACGTAACTTTGCAGCAAAAAGATGCACAGCAATCTATGATGAAAGTGTTATTCATTATGTAGTCCAAATGTGTTAGAAATCAGAGAAACCAGAGAACAGGAAGTAGTTTTCTAAGACTTTTTCACCCAGCTGGTAAAATGTAGGCAAAAGAGAACTTACCCTCTTTAATATCAGACCAGTAATGCGGTATACGGCGTCTCAAGTCTCCATAAATGCCGGAAAATATGGACGAACTTGCTTCCTAAATGATGAAGGGATTGCAAGGAGTTGTAAAACATTTTGTTATTTCAGTATTCAGACTTATTTAGCACAGTTGCATTCGTGACTATTGTGACTTTAAAAGTCCCAAACCGCCATAAGTTGCTTTGAAGCCGAGATGGTGTCATGTGGTTGATATAATATTAGTGTTCTGTGAAGAAATGTGGTGCATGTACATAACACATGCAGAGTTTCACTGGGTTGAATGATGAGTAAAGAGGAGTTAAACCAATGTACGCTTTGATTGATTTGTTCTTGGTTGCGATAAAAGTAACTGGTCAATACAGCATGTCACTGATCGTTAAACCTTCAGTGTTGCATCTACTTTATCGGCTGGATTCGGTCTACTTACCTTATCCTACATAATCGGTTGGGTCTTGTGGGAGGAGCTCACAGGAAGGCCTCTGGGTTCGAAACTAAATTTCGTTGAAGGGAACATCTGAACAAACTGTGCTAGGTCATATGACAAATTCGTCATGTAAATGGGGCGTGAGCTCAAAAACTAGGGAGCATTGGGCAGCTGTTTCGACCTGGTTGGGTCACATCAGCGGTGTGAATCCATCGCCCCAACTGGGATTCCCCCAGGTCATCACTAGCAGAACGTAAGGATAAACCCACTCAACCGCCGGTCAGCTGGTCAGACCGTTTCTCAATTAGAAAATACAAGGTATAACACAACCCATCTCTGCGAGCGTGTTGTGGGTTTAGAACATTTCTCATCTCAGCACTTGCACCCAGGATTATGACTCAGATTGAAACTTGCACAACCTGAGAAATTGTTGCGTGCGACACCAAACCAAGGCGAAACAGCTGTCCAGTGCTTCTTACTTTTCCAATTCAGATCCCATTTACACATACTCCCACAATCTTAGTCTTGCTGTGGGATGCTAAAACGCCTTTTTGTTTCTCCTCTATCCTTGATGGCACACACATATATCACATTGGTCTGATCAATCACAGCGAACTAGCGTCTATGTTAACTTAAAGACTATAAAAATGGAAAAGATAGGTCACCTGTGTGGAAAGTGTACTGATTGCGTCATACACTTTAGGAGCATAAAATAACGTGATGAAATCAAATAAGCAACGCTTCACCAAATGTGAACATTTTATTATTCTCGTTACGCATTAGCCTGCTCTACGTCCACGATTGAGTAGTCTAAATGAAAGATTAGGATTTCTCAAAATTTGTGTTTATTCACTTTCCAGTTGGGCATCAAATCAACGCCACTCGCGACACGTTTTATTAGATCACATAGAATATCAACAGAGCTGCTGATATTTTGTGAGAGCAAAACTCAAGTTTACTGCTTTTTATCTTTCATGGACATTATATAGTATACAGTAAACTTTTAAAATCTGTTAGCACAAAGAAGGATATCAATCAGATAAAAAATCTGATGGACAGTGAAAGTTTTACACAGCGCATAAGTTGCCCTACAAAGTTCGCATGGGGAAGAAATTTATTTCCCGATGGGACTTTTTAAGATTGGGTCACGTCAGTGCACACGGCACCAAAAGATCGATACGTAAGTGTTCACGTGATGAATGATCGTCAAATCTGATAGTCATCCGGTTTGTCTACCCCGAAGTTCACAATTCCGCCTCAGGTCATGTATCATGTCCGAATTACTGGGCGTGCGACTATGCTTAGGCCAAAATCAATACGGTCAAGTAACAACAATGGACAGGGATTAGGAAGCTTCGGTTGTAATCCGATAACTATTTTCGGCAGGTGTACTGCGCAACAATTGTCAGTGGACATGAATCTTCCAGTCATATTGTACAGATCATAACACTAATCAGTAGAATTTTCTGTTCAAATTCATTTAGCAAATGTTCTAGTTTGAATTTAAATGTTAAAACTGTCTTGTTATTGGAGTTTAAATTCTGAAGAGCTAATTCCGTTCTCCTTTTTCAAAGCATTGCTATCAGTTTGTACAACCATTAACCAGGCATATTGATGCGCCGGTTTTGGTTGCTGTCTTTTGGCTGCCCATTTGGATGAAGAAGAGGACAAGAAAGGAAAGTTGGAAGTCGAGTCGAACAGAAAATGGAGAAGTTCAGTGGCTAAGGTTGGAAAGAAATTGAGGAGGTGCACGAACGCCACTGTTTGCGACACCCAGCCATTTCACTCAGTGTCTCCAACCATCAGTGCTCATTCAAAACTAAGCGCATCTTGTAGGATACATTTTCGTAAAGGAAATGATAATTGAAGTACGGATTGTCGCTTGGCATTGTTTGTACCTGTTTCTCGTAAAGAATGATCCGTGATCTGTTGCCAAATCAATGCTTGACGCAAATGCAATATAGAGGATCGCGTAGTATTTAGGGGAAGCAGAGTTGCCATTACCAAAAATCGGGGCTTATTTTGACATTCCATCTCCAATGCAAATGTAACAATCGTCATACAGTGAGAATCCCAGTTGGCACTGATCGTTGTTCAAAAGTTTCATCGATCTACTGATTATTAATTTTTAAGTCACAATTCCCTTTTTCAGTAGTGAGATTAGAATGTGATGTGATTGAAATAATTTTGCTCTAAAGCAGTGTGTCACTGTCACCTTTCCCATAAACTGCATAGATCATCTTGATTGTTCGCGGGGATAGCTTGGTTTTCGTTGTTCAACATGCGGACCTTACACATTGTACCAATTTTACTAAGATAATTATCATACCATACAAACATACCACTCATAAAGAAGGTGCATAATTCGTGGTATTATATAATAATATTATATATTATATATATTATATAATAGCTGGTTGCACCACATTGAAATTTCACCCATTGTGATGGAAGGTGGTACAAAGAAGACCCCGGCTGGCGAACGAATCAAGAATGGGACACACCCAACCAGACGCGCAGACGTAGCGGCTGGAAATACTTCGAGAGACAATGTTGACCACTAAACGAAACGAACGAACCGACAATTACAGCCCGACAGACAATTTGAGTCTAGCCAGAAAGATATCCACCGAATACCACAACGTCGGAGCTGTTGAATAACGTATCTGGCGCTACGATCGGGTCAAACCAGCCGGAACGGCACGCGGAAGAAGAGGCAACGTACGTGCCAACTGCGGCCCAAAACCAGAGGCATGAATCATCCTGCCGCGCGGTTAAGAATTGAATGTATATAATTGAACGCGTACACCAGTTGTTTTATAATTGGGTCGATAAAAGTTTTCCCAGCCGACTCGCCTTCTCGCTACACTATGTCGTATTTCATAATCTAAGCTTATTAGGTACCGTGTCATATGTTCACGTTGTTTCGGCCCAGTATAACAGCTGCGGTACCGCTTTGTCAGAAAAATACTAATTTACCTCACTGAGAACAAAATACAAGTCAAGATAAAATTCATCCGTCAGTCAAAATTTACAACCAGATTTCAAACGAAAGATTAGCTTTCTTTTCGCTCCACCGAGAGAACAACTATGCAAACCACTTGCTTTGCAACTACACTCGCTGGTTTCCAAATTACCGCATTTCATCATCCTTACCTGGATGACAATCAAAATCCGGATGTAGGCGGTCGCTTTTTAGAAACAAGCATACACGCGTATTTGCCAAATGGATGTTTGTGCGGTCCAATATATGAGCTCTTGCAAACAAAGATATTCCTCAATCGGGGGCTGGTTACTGGTTATATTTATGGGATTTACGTAAGACACTGAACGTTTACTATACCTACAAAATTGTGCAGCTTTTGGGTGATTCCCGTAAATTAAAAACAAAGTACCATCGAGGCTGTGTAATTCGGAGTCTAAAGTCAAAATCACCTTGGGCTTTGAATAACCCCTTCAATGATGCGTATACGAGTGGTGAGAGCTTTATATTCAGCTTGTTTATGGAGTTTAATAAAATGATTCTCGCGCTCATTTAACAGCTCTTTTAGAAAATGACTCAATGCGCTAGGTTAATCTGATTGCCAGTGAATGAAACACTTATGTAACGCAGCTCCTGATTTTGACATTAGTCACCGGCTCAATAAGGCAATAATCAAAATTTGGTGGAATAACTAGTTCAAACTGTATGTTTAAATTCATTGGTTTATTCCTCTCTAATGAATTACGTGTTTAAGAATATCAGTCGTAATGATTTATTTATCGGTATCCATTATTCACAACAAAGATTGTCTCAAATTCCTTTCCTGCATCCTTTGTTTCAGTTAAATGAGGGTATTTATGATTACTCCAGGAGAAATAAGAACTCAGAAATTTTCTGTTTACCTTAGAGTAGTCTCTGCTGAGACAAAACTACATGTAAAGTTATTCAGAAGTGATTTGAAAATCCATGAATTCAGTCCAGAATTAATGGTAATTTAATGATACTGAGGAGAACGTGTGACATGCTAAGTTATCTTGGAATAAAGTACCGCAGTCAAACAAAAGTTTTGGTCAATATATTTGTCATTGAAGGATTACTACTTAGAATTAAGGTGAAATGTTTCTGTTTTGTGGCTGATCATCCCTACGCTAGGTGCCACTCATAAGGAAGCCCTTCCCACGGATTTTAGGCGGTGATATTGTTTCTCCACCAAACCTTTAAGACGAAAATCAAATATTTGGGGCCATAAATGGGTCGGCGAAAGACTAACAGTTGACCTAGGGAGTTGGCTAAAGTCAGTGGTACCAAACCAACCAAGAAGAGACTTAAGAACCACCAACACCTTCTTGATCATAGCAGTGCATACTGGCTCGACTGGGAACCTTGGACAGATATCCTAGTCCGAAAGGTTATTGGTTCATCATACGGTCTGTACCAAAACGTATGTGAACTATGATAAGAGTAAATATAATAATATATATAGGCATGTTTTTTCCTCATACTTATCTTTATTTACCCAATGGGTTTGCGCCTCATTCTTGAAGCACTGCACCTACAACAGCTTTTGTACTTTCATGTTGTTGCCATTCATGTTGACTCCCTAGTTAAGAAAATGTAGATTAAAGTTGATTCATTTTCAGCTGCTTATTCTTCGAAGTGCCTTCTCTTATGTTCAATGTTCAATATTCAGTGTTCTTCAATTAGAGGCTGAGGGTAATTTCCCGTATGAGCCTCATCACCACATACTCGAAGATCTCATTCATGATAGATCTGCATACCACATTGTTCGCAGGACGCTGTCGAGCTTCCTCTTGAACATCTTATCATTGACCTCTTCCACCACGTCAGCTGGAAGGGAGTTCCTCAAAGCTTGGTTACCCTTCGCGATAGCCGGAACCGAAGAGGTAATCCTACGGACGAAAGCTTGAATTACCCTTCGCGATAGCCGGAACCGAAGAGGTAATCCTACGGACGAAAGCTTCAACAGCGTTATCCCTTCGCGATAGCCGGAACCGAAGAGGTAATCCTACGGACGAAAGCTTCAACAGCGTAAGTCCATGTCCACGGGTCCTGGTCTGCTCACGCAGAGGGAAATACTCCATCAACTCTGGACCCATGTCACCGCGAAGAATGCGCCGCACATAAATGATATCAACCCGTAATCGGCGATAGGACTCCGGAAACAATCCAGTCGCATGCAATCGTTCGGTGTAGCAACACCCGCGTAACCCGGCAATCATACGGGTGGCAGCTCGTTGGACTCTCTCCAGCTTCACCATTTCAGCAGTTGTATAGGTTTTCATTTGTATGTAAGTCACTATTATATCCATCACACAAGCAACTACGCACCCTGAATTAAGGTCCTCACTTGCTCCTGCCTTAACTGGTCATAAAGTCTTTGTTGCGTCGACTAGGAAGTAGAAAAGACACTATACCGGGCATTTTCGCAGGTGGTCCCCTCCATTCTATCACAGTGTTTGAATGTGGCATCCGTTCGACTAAAGCGATCCTTTAATTTTGTTATGATATCCTTTTTCCGGGCCAGGTAAGAAAAAAAATGTGTACCTAAGATCGGTTAATAGCTGGCATAAAAATCACCATTACTTCAAAATTTTCCATGTCGAATTTCTCCTGATGGTGATCGCTCCATAACTGATTCTCCTATAATGATTCACTGCCAATACTGAAATAGAAGAGAATTCATTACTTATTGCCTCATGCGGGTTGCAACCATATGATCGATTGGGTTCGTTTATTGATCAATCCGATGGTTTAAGGGACGTTATGTTTGCCCAGCTAACCCGAACAACAACCCACACGTTGTCCACAGCCTCGAATCCTTGAAGTTTCGCTGTGCATGGCAGGAATGCCACATCACACATCTGGACAACAGGTGACAACAAAATTATCACAAATATTAAGAGCTAGTGATCAGACAGTCTTGTGTCAAGTTGAAGGATTCGAAGAGGCGCAAATCGGGGAAAATGATTCAATCAGATCACTTAGAGGGCCAGAGGGAATTTTATTGTTTGAGATCACGGGTGAAAGGCGCACGACGATGTGAAGCGATGGAGCAATCGCAGTGTACATTAATCTACCAGTACCGTCAAGAGCATACCTTTTTCTTCACCGAATACCACAACAATTCACATGGAACTCCAGTTGTCGTGATATCTGTCCAACGCAATTCAATCATTCGTATCTCGGTATGTTGTCCAATGTATTGATTTCATCTTCTTGAAATATGAATATGGTGGCATTTTGCACCCAAGTGAAATAATCGTCGTAACTTCGACGTATTTGTTACCAGATTCGAAGTAACATGTAAGATACGTCTCAGGCCTTGGTCAAAGATCTTTCGTCGGATTATTCGTTTATTCTTCGCGTTAACCCGGGGCGGGTCAGTCGAAAGTTCCGATCAATCTGCAGTATCCGATGGATTTCTCCAGGAATCGTGCGAATGCTAGTATTAAGGTCATTGCATTTTGCTAATATTCCGTATTCCAGCTCTGGCAAACTTGAGTATCCTACTATTAGCATGTTTCGACAACTGAGGTGTCCATGAACTTAATCATGATACAGTGCTTGGACGATCACTGTTCATTTATAGGGTGAGACGTAAATATTGTTAGTCAGTCTAAAACCGGACATCGCCGAACGCATCCAAGACATGACCGACTCAGACAATGCAATTGGCAAGTGATGCCGAGCGCTTACAAGTGGAGGTGAGAGAATTGTTAACCACCAGGAGCAAGCTTTTAATCTAATAAATCAGTTTAGTAAAGTCATAATGCAAATGTGTTAGTTATGGAATGCGCAGCAAACCAAATTTTATCTTAGTGATTGCCGAGAAAGTACGACAAACAGGACAGGGTTATCAGCATTCTGAGGAACAAAATATAAACCTTTAGATGGTTGATGTTTGGACTTGCCCATTCAGTTTTTCACAGGCACTTTCAATCATTTTGATTCTTCGAAGTGTTTTAGTTGTAAAAGTGTAATACCCAAACACATCATTGGAGCAGGTTAGATATTTGAGGAGTTTCTTTGTTAGAAACGATCGATTACTCTGTTGTCTGTGAACTAACCAATCTCTAAAAGGATGAGATGTGCATGTTAATTTTTTACCTACACATAATTATGATGAACGTTTGTGCGCTTTGCCAAATTGTTGAAGGATTGTTGAATTGATTTCCAATAATTGATTTATCCCATGCTTGATAACGTTATCCCATTTCACTGGAAAACGGCGTTTCGATTCCATTAGTAGGCTCTTCGCTCGACATTGGCATGGCACTACAAAGTATGTCACGAAATGATTATTTACTGTTTTTCTAACGTGTTCGTCAAATATTTTTTGCGGTTGAATTTTCGAGGTTGCGTTTAATGTTGTTGTGTCCATCACGAGCAGTAGCGTTTTGCATTCTCCATTTCATCGCTGATTAACAGAAACACATTTATGTATAGCCTAAGCAAAATATGATCAAAATAGCAGCAGAGAACCATCACAAAACAGAGTACTTAGGTCACCGCATTTCATAAATATCAATACTGGTTTATCGTTTTAATCCTGCAGACCGATTTCTTTTGTCAAAAAGGAAATTATTGATGGTTTGCGTGTTGAGTCTTGACAGGGACATATTGTCAGTCAACCTACATCGTTCTACAGGCTTTATATATTTAAAACACCCTGAAACTGTTATTTACGTCTGGACACTGGCTTATTACTGGTAGGTGTCAGATAATGCCGTTACTTTGCACATTCAGTATTTGTGGCTAAAGGTCAAGGAATTATGGTTTTACTTATGATGTTGGGCGATAAATGTGCGTGAAATTGGGGGACCAATGTTACGAAGGACTGGGTTTACCATCGTGGAAACAATAATCAAATCATTCAGATACCAATCCTTTTTGTCAAGATAACTCTCAGCACCCACAGTATAATTAACAATTTATTCATGATTGGTTGGACAGAGATAAGATATCCTGTTTTACTGAATGGGCCAAACTGTTGTGTATAATACAATCGTGTTATCAGCATTGTTGCATCATTCAACTGAAAGCTATTTTACCCTATGTTCATTATATAATATGCTTCAATTTATCACATGGTGTAGGCTCCAATAGTGTTCACATGTTTGGAAATCAATCCACCCATTCTACAGACTTACCGTCGCCAGAGCCAGTTGAATTGCCTGGGCCAAGTTTGATGAACGTCGTCGATAGTGAGCCTGTTCCACACTCAGTTCCTGCGCTCGAGCCCACAACAGTGATTTAACTTCATCCTCGCCGGCGGCGTACATCAAAGAGGTACGAAACTCCGGATCGGATAGTATAGTGGCAAATGTTCGACCGATTTCAATCTCGCTTTTGGTCCCTTTCTGATACAGAAATGAATAAAGTAATTTAAATCAATACGAACATGCTCTGAAACGAAAATATAATAATGCAAACTGGTAGATAAAGAGATAGAAATGGGTTCAAGTTACTTAGAACCACTATATTCCTTTTGGTTTTGTATTATTTCATGTTATTGTATTATTATTATTATTATGTATTAATTGGCTTCTTTATTCAAATGTGTTACGGACAAACTATGCTTCCAGTATTTCTATGTGTTCCCTTGAACACCAGTCTATGTATTCAGTGAAATCCTCCGGAATATTTATTAAGTAGTTCGTGTATTATTATTAGATATTTTTTAATAATTATACGTGTTGTACTCCCGGCCGTTCTTGATCGTGTTTGGATTTTATTAACTTTTATCAGCTTCAACAACCAGTGCCAAGTTGGTTTCGATGGTTCCCCCCATCTCAATTAACCATTCACTCACTCACTCACAAACAGACACGTATATATATATATATATGTTTTCGTCACAATAACCTTGTTTGCAACGCCGGGTGACCATTGGATAGACAGCTCTTTCAGAGCCAGTCCAATGAAGAATCAATGCTATGATTTGATGTTTTGTAAGTGGGTTAGATGCTACTAACTACTACTACAAGTATATGAATAAACTGACAAAAGATTACCGGATACGCATGCCTGACGAGCGGTAAGAACCGCGAAACCGGTCGTGTGCTTCCAGGGAAATTTTGTCCAGGCATTAACATACTACTAATTATCAAATATATATGTATTCAATTTTCCCGCTAAAATTCGGAGAATAGAATGTTTAGGATACATGATTTTGCGCACGTTTCACCCTTATTTATTAAGGTGTATCGATCTGTCTGGTCACGATGAGGTAAGGTGATGACGAGCGGCTGTCACACCTCTACGAGGCATAAATCTGGTTCATTCCAGAAGAGCACGTCTCCTATAGCGAGTTGTTCAGCGAATTCATGGAGAACCAAGTAATAATTGACCATACGTGTGAGAAAAGTAACTGACTGGTGAACGGAGTGTGTTTATGGACATACATTTTGCTTGTCAGTTGTACACCCGAAAGGCAAGTAAATGCTTGGAGGGAATTTTGAAATACAGGTCGAACTTCAGCATCCTTCCTCTTCCCGCTATTAGGCGTCATATCCATTCAATCACTTTGTTCCTCATTTTCCCAATATCGGGAACATGACTGTTCAATGATGGATAATTCAAAGGGACAATATTCATCTGTTTTCTCATTAATAATTAGACTGTAAATAAAAACATTGTGTTTCATAACATCATTTTTTTAGTGAACACAAACGGTTTAAGTGTGATTCAGAAGCAATTAGCTAACTACAGCTCAGCCTAAAATTGAAATGCAGATCTCACATTGTAATAATACTGGGTCAAGTGTGTAGGAAATTTTTAACTGATTAGTCTAAAGATTTTCATAGTTATGAAAAATACACCAGGACAATCATTACTAATGTTACGGGCTTTCGGTAATGTTTTGTCATAGTTAAACGGTTTGTACTGTTTCGGTAGCTTTATCATTTCCAGTGGTTCTATTTAGCAACTATGTGTGAATGCGAAATGCATATTTACCATGGATCGCATGATTTTCATACAAAATACAAAGACCAATTTAAGCGGTGAGCAGTTTAGAGAACAATGTTGTTCTCGCTGAGGTGTTCCAGTTCGCCAAATATTTCTCAAGAAGAATAATAGCTTGATAAGTGGGCATTTGGTTCACTTCGTCGAAACAGTCAAACACCGTCTGTGGGACAACCATCATTCAGCTTCGAACGAGTTATTGTTAAACTGACATATTTACCTCCTGGGTTTGTGACGCAATCAAAATATTACTGTTTCGCTAAGCTAGACAACATCCTTTGCAAAAGCTCTACTCAGATAGAGTACTAGGTACTCTACTTAGAGTACTAGGTACTCTAGGTAGAACACCCTCACAAAATTATCGGGCTTGGTGGTCCACTGGGGTTCCACAATGTCAATGGAAACAATTTTCCTCTGCGTGGTGTATTATGCTTTTTAACATATACAAAATGGTAACCAAGCAGCAGCAGTAAAATGTGGAATAATTTAGAACCATTCGTCAATGAACTAAAAGATATCAAGACAGATATAATTAGGGTTTATTTCCAATTCAGTAATTCAATAGCATACTTTGCAATGTTGAATTTTTATCATGCACTCAACACAAAGAAATGGAATAAATTACGGGCAATATGAACCGTAAATGGCAAAATGTTTCGCCCCAATATGTGTTCAGGTCACACAATCTAATTGTATGTTCCGATACCCCGCAAAATCCATTCCTCCAAGTCATTTGCTTATCGAGTGAACTAATCCCAAATAAGTGATACGATAAAATTATTAACGCGAAATTTAGATTGACAAAACCACAGGTTATTCGGGATTACATCATGTATTAGATTCCATTTAGGTTGACATCTCAGTTGAGTGATCAATTAACGATAAATCTGAAAGATTAGCAATAAATGTTTGAATAGTTCACCAGTTCAACCATCATCCTAGGCCATGTCGTTAGTGTTATAAGGGAAGCTAAAATATAGAGCAATAATAGCATCGACAAAAACAACGCAGGGAGAATATCCTAAATCTAAAGAATTATCTAGCACTCTTTTCATTTTTTTATTTTACTTTATTTTAATTATTAGGTGATTAGTTATGTTATTTGAAGATCAATTGTACCTAACCTTTGAGTAGTATGCTTCAAAATTGATAACATGCTACTAGATTTCGTGGAAGAAGGTAGAGAAAAACAACTATTTGAGTTTTGGCACAAAAATACTTTGTGATGAGCGTAATGTTTCCTGGCTGAAAACCAAAAATATCACTCATTGTTCCGAACTGTTTTAAATGGAACACAAACATGTATACGTTTGTTCGAAACTGATCCAATGCGGCAGTTTTCTTTATTCAAGTAATTTCGAGATGTTTAGTATCGCCATATTCTCCTGAAAATTTTGTTGTGGTTCATAATCCGCGTGATCCGAGGCGTGCAACACAACGATCTCTCCCCTCCCCAGGCCCCGCCCCGGAAACATTTAACCATATTCTCACCCAATTATCCGGGACAATTAGCCAATCTGTTGACACAAGCACAAAACATTCACACACACACACACACACGCATAAACAAAAACAGAAATCCATCGTTTCAATTTTAATTGGGATATTCCGTTATTTACAGCTTTTCATAAATAACAATGCAAAAAGATTGATTCTGTTTTAAAAATCCGCATAATGACAATCATGGAAAAGTTATCTACATTATTCTATCAAATTAAGACGATCTCCGATTAAGTTAACCGGAATTCGATTAATGGATTTCTGAGGAATTTCACGACAAATATACTTTTATTTCACTGCAGATGCTATGTAGGATTGATGTTAATAACCGTGAACAATTAGAACTCTAATTTGTGCAAGAGAAATAAAAAACGAGCCAGGATGGAATTTTTGCAAAATAGTTGTATCGGTATTATACATTTTATTCCTATTATGCCGTTTGGTTGACTGTTTGATCTAAATGCAAATCCGTGTAGTAAAGTTGAATGCGTATGTAAACAAATGTGTACGGATTACATCAAGTTGTTTCGTTAAAAAACAGTTCATCCAAATTTCTGGATGGACGAAGAATTACTTGTGTAAAGCCGCCGGGTATCCGGACTTTAGTCATTACCTGATCATTCAGAAGTTGATTCGCGGGAAGCTCTATGTAAACGACAGCTTTGAAATTTGCACAACAACATTGTCGAGAATAAAGTGCGGTTAGTTGATTTATTCGCTTTGCATGGAGCGCATTTGTTTGTTCGAAACTTTCTATGTGGCCGCATGTTTCTTCTTTCTGGTAGGTTAACTTATATCTTTGCTAGTTCGCTTCAGTATTTCTCTTAAACATACAAATCATCAGTATTATTACGAATTCATCGCAGTTCCAATGACGGGAAGAAACGTGGTTTCAACCCGGGAAGAACACTGCTTTACGCTCCCCTCTTTCAGAACGTATGTGGTTTAATTTAGTTTAATTTAAACATCAAGAGTATCATTCTGTGTTTGTGGCTTGTTCAGTGGTATGCATTGCAAATAGCACTTTACCACACATCATTCTATGGTAGAAATTGGAAGGGTCAAAATATATTTGTACGAAAGTTTGCCATTGGCTGATGGAAAACAAAAGCCTCAGCCTTTAGAGTGAGAAACATTAACTTCACGGTAACTAGAAGGGACATTTGAGTAAACGTTTTACACATTGAAAGCTTTATACAGTTCATTCAAATGGCTCTTTTATGCAAGTACATTTTTTAAATCATTTTATCCCTATTCGGTGTGCAGAGTCAACATAAAACACACGAAACAAATGGACAAAGCAATTTCAAATAACTCACTTGAATATACACAAAAAGGTTGTCAAGATTAAAGATTATTGAATATCAGAGACTATTTATTGGGTACTGGGTATCGGTTGATTTCCTTAAACCATACAATCACAAAACATTCCAACAATTAGAAAATTAGATTTCAAATGCGTGAGAATGCAGATTCCGCACTCTTGCTCAATAACTCAGCTCAAGGATCACCATAAATGGAAATGTGGTAATCGAAGTACAAAACATGCTAGAAATATCAAATGCAGTATAAATGTATAGCACGAATTTTCCAAAGGATCGGAATAATTGTGTCTCACAGTCGCAATTAAGCTTTTACTTGCTTCTATGGGCAACAAATTGGAAAGAAAATAAATGTCGTGCATTGAACTCCCCTACCACGAAAACACAACGATACTGGTTCATCCTTGTCAATACTCATGAATGATGAAAATTCTCTGCGTGCTACTACCACGATTAGAAACATGAACCTCCTGCTCAGGAGTCAAGGACGTTATCTGAAAGCTACATGGTAACTTCGAAATTTTGGACTCATGATAATACAAATAATTGATATTCTTGTGTCGTAATCGTATGCAAATGTATAATCTTTCTTGGTTAGTGTAGGTCTTACTTCACAAAGTTTCCTGTGATCTCCGTATTGCTGATAAATTTGGTTCAATACGAATGATACGCAATGTTGATGCACCCAAGAAAAATGCTTATCGAGTGACCATCGTGGGATAGAAAAACATTACCCAATGAGCGTTGTATATTGGTGAATAAAGATTCATGATATATGTGTTAATGAGTTTGCATGAATGCAAAACGAAAATATTTTTCAACTGAGACTTTACTGGAAGAAAACACAGAATCCAAAAGAGGTTGAAGGCTCTGCCTATATAACTTTAAACGCCAGTTAGTGAGTTAACCAAACACAACTCGTTTCATCTATCGGATTTTGATTTTCAATGTCACAATGCACGTTTTCGATATATATATATATATATATACGAGTCTAATAGAAACTGAAGCAACAGGTCCCTGTAAAACACTTGTGTGTTTATTTACAACAAATTAACATTGATAATAACTAGGATTCGAAGTTTATGTATACTAATAGTCGATTGGTCTGCCCTTGTTCTCTAGGTCTTTTTCGGGTCTCTTCGGCATGGAATCCACCAACTTTGTTATGAAGTCATTTTCTATTTTGTGCTCCATTATGTATCGCACTTATGCCTCCAATGTCCAATGTGTAGGTAGCCCAATGACCTCCCTCTTCAAAACAGAAAACAGATTAACAATCGCGTTGAGATCCGGGTTATTAGGGGGCAGTTGCATTAACTGAACCTTGGAGTCACGCATCTTTTCTGAAGTCTCAAAGCAAATAATAAGTGAACCAGACTCCTTAACTAAATCAATTTACCAACCTCTCGTGAAACATGACATGGAGCGTTATCCTGAAAAACGATAACTTTTCCAGATGATTTCTTTTTCTTAAAATTCTGGAAACATTTTCGTAATTACTGGTACAAATTTCCCACTATTCGTGGTTCCTTTGACTGATGTCCACCGACAAGGCTGACCGTGTTTTATTCCTGCCCAAATGAGTAATCTCGACGGGTGAGGAAATCTTTCATTTGGTGGAATAAGTCCTTTTGCGAAATTCTCACCACAAATGACTTTTTTGTGAGCCTTCCAAGGCTCGTTGCACATTATACACTCGTCGGCGAAATAAACCGATCGCCAAAATGACGCACGACGAGGTTTGAATTCTCGGGCAAAATCAATACGCGCCTGACTTTGGTGCGCGTTCAATGCTGGCGTTGCGTCAGCTGAAACCTGACGCATCTTAATTTTTTTCATTCTTCTTTGCAAAACGGAATATGAATGGCTGGGAAGATCTTCCCTCTGAATGGACGATAACATTTTTCGGCAACGTTTTTTCAGAGTAATACCAATCAAGTCGTCCTCCTGTTTAGATGTATTCGGTTTACGGCCTCCGCAAGCGGTTCTGGTTGTAGTTTTCGTATGGAGTATCCTGTAAATTATGCTTCCGGTAACGTTGAAGAATTGGGCAAGATTTGACATCGAAAATCCCAGCTTGTGTGCTCGTGCAATTCTGTATCTGTCCTCTTCACTGAGATAACGGGAACCATTGGTTTTGAGCGCCGCTTGCTTCATTATAGCGACAACAATGCGAACATTCAAAGCTGTGCACAAAAGTGACCTTGATTTCAAGGTTGACTTTAATTGAAATGGTATTTCTCGGATTCAGTGAGTTAGATATCAAACATAGCTTATTATTAAGAAACCTCAATTATTGTAATTTTCCCGGGTTGTGAAACATTTTCATTTTGTTATTCAATTGAGTTGCTATAATGGATTATATGTTGGATAAAAAAATGCTTCATAGCAAGCATCCGAGGTGGCAAAGGTTTATGGAAATAATTTGGGATAATTCTTGATTTATTCCTATTAGAATATATTGCGCTTTCATACTTGATACACTTTGCGTTTTTCATGTTCAGATCACTTAATCTTGGCAACCAAGGTCACGCAAGTTTAATTGACAATTATGCAGCCTAGAAACTACTTAGATCCCAGTAGACAAGATATAAATTATTGTCAATTCATAAAGCATTAAGACAAGTAATAAATATAATGATACTTCATTTGAACATAAAGAAAATATTTTAGTGCATTACAATCTACCAGTACTGTATATATATATATATATATATATATATTAACTGTGTGCCCAAAAGGTACTGGTCCAGGTGCTTCAATCGCCTTGGCCGGGTGTGAAAACCAAGACAGAACATGACGTGTTACTTGACCCAAGTGTGGAAAGGTCACATTAATTAGTATGCTCAACATTCTCACACACATATTCTCTACGCAATGCCTCCGAATAATAATCTTAAATTGAGCCAATGGCTTTCATTATGTAAGAATGTTTTTCCACTTTTTAATAATCAAGTGCATGACTAGGAATATCCGAAAATAACTGTTCGCTCACCGACTCGTTTCCTCAATGCAATCAATATGTTGCTACGTTTTAGAGAAAACGTTTAATTTGAATTTTGCAGTTGTGTGCTCCAGGAGTAACTGCAATAATACGTTTAACTTAGTCAGCTTCATCGAACTCACGCGAATGAAAATTAGTTTGCGTTGATTGCAGCTTGTGCTAACGTCCATCTCCAAATGCGAAAAAAGAACCATTTTCCTGCAAAGCGGACTTTATGTATCATGAATTTTTGACTGCTAGGTTTTACGTATTCTGCTTCATTTTTAAATTCATGGTAATGAAAATTGTAAGCTTCTAAAGGCATACTCAATTGAGAACAAGCAAGAGCTTCAGTGGGATTTAAACGCAGACGAGAACACTACTAGCAAACAGTGTGCCCGAGAACTGAGGTTCAATATCACTCAGATAATTCGTCTGATTTCATATCTGGTGGACTTAAAAACTAATAGGATCATTATATCTATAGAACACAATGCCTACCCGACCTACCTTCCTCAAACTTCACTCGAGATTACCGAATAACGAGCAATTTTAAACAAATAATACGAGGTGGCATAGTGTGTATCTTAGCCTGTCTTATATATATATGTATATAATTATATATATGTATATATATATATATGTATATATATATATATATATATATGATAACCAGAGATTTTCACACGTATGTTTTGATTCCTTTGAATTAGTTTACTTTTTCAAAGTACAGTGTATTCTGCAACCACCAAACCTGCAGAGAATCGATGATCACATATGTTCTGCTGTAAACAAAAGATGACTAAAGTTTTCACGAATTCTCACTTTAAACCGAAAAGCACTCATTTTCCAATATAACTAAATTTATCTGAAAAACAAACATCCATTTATAGATAGGCAATTAAATGAATTATATTGAGGAAGACGTTCCTCAAAATAGTGAGAATATTTAATAGGTGACCTGGAAACCTGTCGACACATGTTTCACACAAATTCATCACGTTTTCCGGTACCGACCCCGACAATCGCTGCCTAACAACATAGTTAAACTTGCATACAATCTACGATATTTTCAGTGTATAATTTGGCGCAATTCTGTTAACATTTCACAGAAGTTTTCAAATAATGCTTTCCGAACAAATGTTCTGTAGGCACGTCTTTTATGAGCATATAACTACATCTGTACCGCTACATCTGTACGCTTTTGAAGAACATGTTAACCAAAAGGGACTTCACAAAGCAATGAAACTGAATAGGATCGTGTTTCACCAGCTTACAAATCCCAAGGGACTTCTTGATTACTAACTTATTGCTTTATTTGTATCCCGATACCGTTTGCGATGAACCATCGTCCCAATGTGGGAAGCGCATCTGAAACGGTTGTGTGCTTCATTTGCCTACGTGTTTTGTCATGGTCCGTTTGTTCGAACCCCACAGATTTCCACCCTCCAGTTGCGTTTGCTGTTTTGCAGCCTACAGTTGTTAGCGTTCTACGTTCGTGTGTGTTGATTGTACACCTGTCATATATCAAAGTAAAGGAAGCATTCAATTTGTTCGTAAATATGATGCTATTGTATCATTTTCTGCCGTAAGGTATTGACCAGCAACATAGACCTTGAAAACTGTTGTATATTTTAAGCCTTGTATTTTGCTGAAAAGTCTAAGAGAAGTGCATTCCAAATTCATAAACAAGAAGATTTCATTAGAAATAAGACAGCTGCAACAACTAAGAAAACCACTGACGTACAAAAGGAGATTAATTGCGTAACAGCAAACACCTCCATGTCGCTGGGGTAGTACACTATGGGTGACGCTGTAATAGGGATATGGTTCTTGAAGACAGATCACTGATTTGTACTGCTATAAATGTCGAGATGTAGGAAGATATTTTGAATAATTACTGAACATTACTTAAAAAATCGCTCACATTGTGAAAAAATATCTTGATCCTAAAAAATAAATTCCACAACGGATTGGTTATGATAACAATTTATGAACCATTTCAGACCTTAAAATGACGATGATGAGTCTCATAAACCTGATCGTTCACTGTTAAATTACGCAACTGGGAACATTGAATAGAAATCTACACAGGTTCAAATATAACCGCCGTGCAATGGAGTTGCGCCACGATGCAACTCCCGACCAAGGTGTTTGTATGCTGATAGTATTAGGATTCGAAGCTCACGTTTCAGCTCAGAACTCAACAGTGAAGGCAAACTGAAGCCAGTTTAAGCCAAACAAACCGTAGTGCGATAGAATTGAATCCTGAATGAATTATCTGCATTAAAACAACCACCATAATAAGTTTACTACAGCTTAAGAGAGCCTGAAATAAAAGTTAACTGAAGATAATATTGTCTAAAACAGAACAAACGAAAATGAATAATAAAAAAATCAGCTAAAGATGAATCACCAAGAAAATGATCTTCCGGGCTATGTTACAAGATATAATTTGAGAATATCTTCCCTGAAATTCTTGCGTGATACTTGGGTTCACTATGTTATCGATTTTCAAAATTGATAAGAGTACCAAGTAGTTTGAGGTGAGGACAAAGTTCAAAACATTTGATCAGCGTTTTCAAGCAGTATAAAATCTTTCAGAAAGTATGAGTACAATTTATGCACCATTTTCATTCAATTCCGATTAATCTGAATCATGCTTATCGTTGACTGTCAACGCAAAACTGATTCTAGACGATCAGAAGTTCAAGAGTGGCTCTCATTGTCATTTATATGGAATTTTATAAAACCTTTGCTAAAATTGACCTTCGTGTGTATAGAGATGAAAAACACTCAACCTGCCAACTTGGTTAATCTAAACCAAACTCCTCGTGCTGTATATGAAGTTTATTGATCAAACAAAACGACCACCTGCAAACAAATCGTTTGCAGTAATTCTTCATGTCGATAAACTGCAATAAATTGCATAACTACATCAGTTATATCAATACTTGGAAAGTACAATACATTGAATTTTGAAACTTTGTATTACATGAGGTAACAAGGAAATTGGTTCGTTGCCGAGCGGTCATGACACGGAGAATTTGCAGTACGAAAACCCTAAAGAAGCAGTTCTGTGTTGTAAGATCGATTGTTGCATGTATAGCGTATAACGTTACTCGATGCGCGAAGAACACTAACCAAAACATTAGGCTGATGAAAAAACCACGTAAATTTCTTTGCCGTTCAAGGGGATAAATTACCTGAAGTCTTAAGAAACAGCTTATCCATTGCAATTAATAAGGGTTTCTATGCACCGCATCTTTGTGTTTTCCACGCCCAAGTTGACCTTTTGTTCCCCCCTCTTTGACTGTGCGCTCAAAAGCAACTTGAGCAGACGCTTGAGGTTTCCCGGCCCACCCAACAACCAATTTCGCTAGACATTTTGATGATCACCAAAACCAAATGATCACGGTGAATTCGATTCCCGGTGTCATGATGAAATCAACGCTTGCAATCTGTGATGCGTTTTGTATTTGTACTTCATTTCCCCAAGCAAATTTCATCTTTAAGTAGTGCTACATACTACAATGCATTCACCTGAATACAAATAACTGAAAGCAAATCTTTTTTGCCTCCAATGTTGTTTCGTTGGAAATGTGCTCGGTGAGTAGATTTTTACTTGGTGTACTTCATAATGATATGCAATCTAATGACTTCACAAAAACGCAACAGAAGCGGATGCTCGGTTTTTTGCAACAGACGAGGCTTGCGTTTACCGGTGATCTATGAGCTATGTAATGCAAAACGTTTGTTTATAAGAGTGGGACGGTGTGTAGTGAAAAACAGAAAGGCACATTTTAGTTGAATGTGCAGGGAATAGGTGGAATGAGAGGCAATCGGTGTTTTGGGTTTGTGGTAGCGTTACTCATTATTTTTAGTGGGTAACTTTGACGTAACTGTAAATCGCATGATTTGTTTGAACCGTTCATGCATTGTTAACGTGCTTTAATTTATAAAACCACTTTCATGCTTTGTATACTTGAGGCGGTGTAGTTTGAATCAAAGTTTTCGAACAAATAAGTCTAACATAGTAAGCTAGAAGTCAAAATAACAGAGCCGGAATGTGGACAATTATTTATCATGAATAACAGTCAGGGTATCGGTAAATTGGCATACACACAGTAAAATGTCTCATTTAAACGCAGTGTCCAGAATTCCCATATATACAGGATATTTACCGGAACGGCCCAACAGTAGATGCGCATTCCGGAGGTTACCAAACTAAACATAGCAATTCTCTTTAACAGGTCTTTTTCACTTTTTGCCGTTGGAAGAAATCACCAATAGCATCTTTTTATGAACTACTCACATGTTTGAGTAGTATCTCACCACACTTCACAGTGTTTACTCGCCTTTATTTGTTATTGATTGGCACATGAGTGCTTTTCCCCATTTAGCTCACGTTGGGAGTAAATAATGAAGCGGTCGAATTGGTGTTCATTAAATTCCATCACGCAACCCTCGTCATCAAGCTGCGCAATGACTAGATCACATCAAATGTGTCTAAACGTGATCACATCTCAGTGTGCTATCGGTACCTTACTCAAATTTATGAAATTTCGCAGTAGTTTCAATTTCTGGTTACTTTTAAATGCTCGTGTAGTCCTAATAGAAATACTCTTGGTTTCCATATCTTTTCGGATGAGTTATCTGGATTTGACTTCAATAACGAACATACGGTTTATTATTTAAGATTTGCTTATAAAAGTTCAACGAACGCTACATAGTCGTTGTTCACGTAATCTAATATAGTTTAACATTATGTTCAGCAGGTTTTGGCTCTCCATATTACCTTTCCAGATTCCAGAGTAAATTTTCTCGAGCAAATAAAACGCAAAGTGAAAAGCTATGACGTATAGAACATGTGTCTTGCCCTGGTTCGGTCTCATCAGCTGTGGACATCCGTCGACCCAACCGGGAACGAACCCATGACCTCATAGGTTGAACGGAATTATACCCCCCAGTCGACCACCGGGCAGCTGAACAGACCTTTTAGAATTTTTCCATTTTCCTGATGCGCAATATCGCACAAGCCAACTTTGAATGCTCGTTGCAAGCATCAAACGTCACTCATATCAGTGATAGCTTCCAGGGCTATTACTCGATTGGAACTATTCTAGATGTTACTCTTTGTTACAGAATTGGTATAATTGGTAATTTCTTATGTTGACAAGTTTGCATCTAT